ATATGCTTATCTATTCGATTACTTGTATTTCCACTCGAAAATAGAACCCAAAAGGAAATTTTCGCGTTCGAATAATTCTTGTCCGCGACATTGTGACGCGGCCAAACTCGGACTCTTCTTAGAAAAAGATTTTTGAAATTTTTAAAATGCATGTTTTCCAGAAAGCACAATGTGTGGGTAGTAGCTTTTGAAGAGCTCTATCACCTCGTGCAATCCAAACATTTTTTCACCTTTGTTTTCCATCCGAAAATGAGCGATGAAAAAAGGAAGCCGGCTTGTCCGCAACTTTTTGGCGGTCACTGTATATAGAAGTACGACTACGACCCCATTTGGATTTTCTATAGGTGCCCCAGTTCTCGAGAAGTGCTGATGTTTAGGATAAAAACGGTAAAAAATTATGAGATAGCCTAATAGATTTACAGTATCGAGCGAATCACCAATCGCTTTTCATTACTGTAGGATTACTGTAGGCACTTCGACACGAAGTTTAGGTCATTGGAAGCCATGTTCCGACTCGGAACAAAACCAAAAAAGCCAAAAACTTTTATACCATGTGGAAGCTGCTGATTTCCAATATGAAATTTCCACTTTATTGTGATGCTTCTTTCCGAAGTTATCCTAGGTAAACCGTAATGACCGAACTCCCTGTATTTCTCAGAAATGTAATTACACCGTCAAAAAAGCTGAAAGCATTCTATAAAGTAGTGTAGTGGAATCAGCGTGCGCGAAAACCTTAGTACACGATCTTTTAGATTTTTTGTAAAAAAAATTTGTCATGTGGCATATTTCGCAATGGTTCCACATGCTGGAAGTTCTTATCGTAATCCTACACCAGTGAAGAGCGACCGGCGATTTGCTCGATACTGTAATCGAAGTTGAAGCTTCCTCTGCAGAATGGTGCTTAAGTGGCGGAGAAAGACACGATGGGAAGAAAGATATAAACGATTGAAAAGTGTGTAATTACTTTTAGGACCCTGTATAATATTTTGATCATGAAATATTTCAAAATGTTACACAGATTTTTGCTTTCTTAAGCGAATTATTCTCCATATCTACGATGCGACTTATTTGCAGTCCTCTTGCATTCCAACATTCTTGTTTTTTTACGGTCGATTGTTTTCCTTACATGACCTATGCTGCTGCTTCTCCCAAAAATATCTTTATAAAATGAAAGATTTTCAAAGAGATTTTTTTCACACAACTGAGAGGGGCTGTTTTTGACAAACCTACCCTATTCAGTTATTGACAACACTACTGATTCGGAGGGTAGACGGCGGCTTTCGAGCAATTATAGAGTCACTTTTCTCTCAAAAAATATTCACTATTTCTTAATTGAAATTTGAGCTAGCAATCTGAACTGCACTTTGAGCACCTTCGCTCCCTTGCTCTAACTTCAATGACAAGTATTCTGAATAATCTTCATCAAATTTTAGTAGTCTGCTCTTTCGTTGTACATTGTTTTAGAACTTTTGGATGAATGAGATTTTGAACAAATGGAGCTTTCTAAACCCCTTAACACACGAGCGTACCTGAGGGGAGGTGAGCTTCCCCCATTGTAAAGGACCTGCGAATGCCGCTGCGGCTCATCATTAAAACTCTGCTCCTCTCGCCGCAGAATTTTGCATGCATAAAGACCTACATGTCACTTCCTTGAAATTCTTCCAAATTTTAAGTTAGAGTGTAAAAGTCCTTTCATTTCGGTCGAAAAGCGCAAACTAGCTCCTCCGAAATTCTCTCTTTGTGCGATACTATCCTTCTTTGCAATCTGATTAAAAGTAGCATTTTATTCTATTCTGGTAAACGTTTAGAAAATTTCTTGCTTGCTAATAGCTGACTTTGATTTAGTCCTCTACAAGATCATCTTTTCGGTCTAAAGTTCTGCTCTAGTTTTGTTTAGGTCGCACGGATGTCCTTACTATAACGTCGAAAGTGAGTGTTAAAATTCTAGATATTAGGGTGATCAGAAAGTAATGGGAATAATTGAATAATTTTAGCTTTATTATGGCAATACCCCACTAGGGGGTATTCCCATAGTAAAGCCTAATACTATGGCACTGCTAAACATGTAGCAAAAACCGTGAAATCCCGAATATATCGAAAATTTAGATGCACCGCTGTTCGCGAGCTAAAGTTCATAGAAAATTCCACAATCTGCACATTTCATTCGTTTCATCAAATACACTCTAGCAGAGCCATTGTAGATTTCTAGTAAACTTTACGACTTTCCATCGCCTTCCTGGAAAGAAGACGAGACAGACAAAGAAAAAAAATCCAAAGTAAAGAGATATGACGCGATCCTTTCAAATCACCTTCCCTCCCAAGCGCAGATGTACGGACCCTAGTAGGGGGAATGCCACAACCCACCAAGCCTTATAGAACCAAAGCTTCAATTTAGGCGATGTAATTTAAGCAGCTCTGAGTAAGGGAAGACTGTTTTTTTTTCTGCACTTTGTCAAGTTTTTTTTGTCTTTTTTCTGCAAAAATAAAAAGCCCCCTAACTTTATAGATCATCCAATAGGGCTTGAAGTGCTGTTTCGAACAGTTTGCTCTTTACTCAAACTTCGCGTTATAGCAGCGCAATCTTCAGAAATGTCCAAAAAGTTTGTAGAGTTCTCCGAAGCACCATTTCAAGGATTAAGAGGAGCGGCAGTGCGTCATCCAGAATGATGGGCGAGGCGATAGATTCCATACATGGTTTAGTTGCTGCCTGATTATTCAAGATTAAAGCAGAAAGTTTCAAATCAAAAAAAAATCAAGCTGTCCCATTATTTTCCGATCACATAACAAAAACTTTTTATAGCTCTAAATGTCGCGCATCTGGCTAGCAAGGTCTGACGGGACCCTAAAACTCATTCGGATTTCCCATTTTGACGCTAACACACAACCTGTCCGAAAATTTGAGGATGACTGCGCTAGCCGCGTTCTCCGGAATACTTTTTTTGGATGCTACACACAGTTTTTATGGGTTAATGCAGAGTTTTTAAGACGCTAATCAAAATATTCAAGAAATTTGAACAATTATTCTCCGTTCACAAGCAGAAGCAAGTCACTTGCACATCTCCTGACTCATATAAATCACTTGCGAATTTCAGAGACTTATTCCATAAGAAGGGGTGGCACGCTATCAAGCCGCTACTACCTCAGTCCGCCACTGGCAGGCTTAGTTCTAAGCCAATTTTCAAATATTTGGGATTTTCTTCAGATTATAAAGGTTCTCTAGTGCAAATGAAATGTTACTTGTTGTTTATGTTTTACGACTTTTTGTAGACTAGATCTTAGACATGCAGTGCTGGCCAAAACTATACTTCCACCCTGAAAACTGCCGTAACTCATCTGCTTCTCAACGAATTGATCTGAAATTTGGTACAGTTGTGTGTTTAACAAGCCACCATCAGCATCTAGAACGGATCCCGTTTTTGTTTGTTTATTCAGGAAATAATCAGAAATTTCGAAAAAAGCAGGCTTGAAGGTTGGCCGAAACTATACTTCCACTTAAGGTTTCTGTCCACTAAGGTAATTCTCCGCTTCCAAAATCTTTTGTGCATATACATAGTCAAAAGTCAAAACAGTCGCTTTAGTCCAGCTGTCTCATACGTTTATAAGAAACGCTATTCTGCTTTTTTTCGCTTAAAAATACTTTCACAGGTATTTTGTTCCCGAGAATGTGTTTTTAGGGCTAATTTCGCAGTTTCTTGACTGCCTTGGAAGCGATAGGGCTCCATCTATCTTATAGATGCTTAGCGAAGTGAGAACTAGAAAAAATTTGAGTTTTCATATTTAAAGGGCACCCAACATAGACCTAAGCGCAGGCCTGCGCTCAAAATTTTGCCTTCAAAGTTGGTTTATGTTATTTTTGTAAGTTCTACATGATGTAGGAGGATTATTTACATAAAAAGAAGTTTGTACACTATACTCACGACTGTTCGCCAAGTCGTACATTGCTTCGTAAACAAGGCATAATTTTCGCGGTTTAATGATAATGTAAGGCAATCCCAAAATACTTACCAACTAGAACCTTTCCTGATTTTTTGCCACTCTTTAGTGCTAAATAGTGAAAACACCCTGTATTGTATAATGCCTTGTGACTCACAAGAGTATCATGGTCAGAAACAAAAATAAGTTCAAAGCTTTTTGCAAATCAGTTTTTGCAGGATGAATTCCTCAATTAGCCTGCATGCTAAGACCTGCCGAAATCTGCAACCACTGCATCCGAACTCTCATACGTACAACAATGTTATTGCTTTACTCCACTCATGAGAACATTGCAGAAGGAGTTTGAAAGCAAAAATTTGAGCGCAGTCTTGCTGTTAGGTCTATGTCGGGTGCCCTTTAAATATGAAAACTCAAATTTTTTTCTAGTCCTCACTTCCCTAAGCATCTATAAGATATATGGAGTCCTATCGCTTCCAATCCAGTCAAGAAACTGCGAAATTACCCATAAAAACACATTCTCGGGAACAAAATACCTGTGAAAGTATTTTTAAGCGAAAAAAAAGCAGAATAGCGTTTCTTATAAAGGTATGATGCAGCTGAACTAAAGCTACTGCTTTGAATTTCGACTACCTACACGCACAAAAGACTTTGGAAACCGAGAATTACTTTAGCAGATAGAAATTTTAGGTGGATCTATAGTTTTGGCCAACCTTCAAGCCTGCTTTTTTCGAAATTTTTGATTTTTTCCTGAATAATCAAACAAAAACGGGATCCGTTCTAGGTGCTGATGGTGGTAGCCTGTTAAACACACAGCTGTACCAAATTTCAGATCAATTCGTTGAGAAGCAGATGAGTTACGGCAGTTTTCAGGGTGGAAGTATAGTTTTGGCCAGCACTGTATAAGAAGCAATCTGTCGACCCCAGGGATACTACTACTACTTAATTCTGAAAGAATAACCCAAAGAGAAATCTTGCAAGAGCACTTTTTGGACTTTTAAGGCAACATAGGACTGTGAACCATCGCATTTCACAACTTTGGATATAACAAGTGAATACGAATCGCTAACATGAAAATTTTCAGGTCGAAACTGTTCACATTCAGGAGTTCCAATATTTCGTAACAACGTCATCGGCAAACTATCTTTCCCCGAGAAGCCATAAGATTTACCTTAAGTTTCAGATAATCATTGACATTGTGTTCACTGAAGCAAACATCATTGCTTACCACCAGAGTGGATACACGTCGTATGAGACTTACAATCCGCAGTGTGAATATATCTTGGAGAGCAGTTGGGGCTGACTTCGTACATGCGATGGCACTCTGAAAATCAAGAATACACCAATATTAAGTAGACCATAAGAAACCATAGTACGTGTGCATAGTCGAAATCCGCCTTCGACTACCTCGCCCGCCGCTTTGCATTCTTCGTTACTTATAGCTCAAAACAACATCTTGATAATAATGACAAGTTAAATGGGATAAAATTGAAAAAAGGGAACCTAGTGTGCATATGCTTCCCGTAGAGTCATGATCGTGAGGATGGTGGTTTTCATGCTTGTCTCTCCTAGATCTCCGCGATTCAGACTGGTCATGAAAGGGATCAGCACATTAAACATCCATCTCAAAACTTTTCAAATGGACATCGGCCCATACCAGTGCTTGTTGTTCGCCAATAAGCCACTCTTCATGTGCTATAGGAGTCTGTAGTTTTTTCAAAAGACTTCGACATACAGTGCTGCGGCAAACTCGCTCAATTCTCCCGTTTATGATGAGGAAGTCTTCGTAGTCAGGATATGGCTTAAAATTTTCTTTTTGCGTCAGTGTCACGAGCGCGGATGTAAAATGCTCACTTCGTCTCCATAACGCAGTTTCTTGAACACAGGAGCAAAATTCAGGGCTGCCTCCTCAGGTGTCTAAATTTCGTTGATTACGTTGCAAGTTTGAGATAACAGAGGAGAAGAGAGAACCAGGAACAAATAAGTCACATATCGCTTCACCGAAAACAATTTTTCTCATCTCACTGAGTTCTTTAACCTTAAAGAGTCACAAACGAAACATGCAGAAATCATAATTATGATTACCATGTTGAACTTCGAAACAATAGCGAGTTTTTTGGTTTATTGAAACTTCTCACTTTCTTCCGAACCCAAAAACTTGCCAAGCAAGAGTAGATCGGGGGTTTTTTCGAAAGTAATGACCGCTTGAAAAATTTCGTTGATAATCACGTCTCGCCTGACATGCCCGTAGGAACGCAAAGAAGTTAGCATGATATTTGCGATCAAGTCAGTCATAGGATGGGTTCATCAGATGACTAATCCGATTTCTTTCATGTAATTACAACTTGGCAAATCGTGAAGGCTCGAGGACGCTCTCTCAAAATCAGTCAGTGAAATAGCTCTAAGAATTAATTGTTCAAAGACTTACTCATGTTTTCAGTGATTGGTTTGTAGTCAAACTCAATATTTGCCGAATGAACTCCTAAGGTGGACTGCAGAGCGCATGCATTGAAAGCGACTCCACATTTTCATCCGCTCATAACTCCCGCTGGAGCTATGCTTACCAGATAAGGGCAAGTTTGGGATCAGCTCATCAAGATTCATCTAATGACATTTCAGTTCGTCACTGCGATTTGCAACCAAAAAAGAAGATTTCTATGAAAATAGGGAGTGATAGTACATAAAAATACATTCGTTTTTGCTTCAGTTTATGAGAAAAATGCATCTAATGATAATTGTAATGAAATTTTTGGTAATAATCAAAAGCATTAGAGGCACCGTCCACCCAGGGGGCTGGCGAGATTGTGATGTGATATCATATGATGGGGGTACGAGCAAGTTTCAATCAGCCAGTCTCCTGGTGCCACAGCCAGCCGCCAGAGCCGGCGCCAACGCCGCAGGTGGGCTACAGTAAGCGTATTGTTGTCGTACAACCTCCTGTCGGGAAATCTTCAGTACCGCCTATCACCTCAGCGTGCAGAGATGCGAAAATTCCCTCGATCGCGCGATTACCACACAACGTATATGGATCAGTATAGCGGAAAATTTATGGTTTGTTAGCAGTGGAATTCAATATGACGAGGGTACAAGGGAATTACAAACAAAAATTGGGGAACGGAACTTACCTACCCGAAATATTCTCGCACCTCATGGCTGTGTGCAGGCAGGTATTATAGGCATAGTTAGCTCGCTGATTCCAGTGGCCGTATTTATCAACGAACCCAGTGGGTTTCGGAACCCATTAGTTCGCGAACCCACTGGGTAAGATCGGTATTCACAAGTGCCCCACTGGGTTCGCCAACCATGAAGTCACCAATGTGCCTCTTCAGTTTGTGTACTTTTTTCATCTCTTGCCACACGAGGATCGCGCTAAACTAAAAGCTCCAGCACGCTTGACACGCTTTCTAGAAGTCTTATGTTTGATTAAATGACATGAATCAATGTCTTTTGTGCGACAAAACTTTGTTCTTTATTCGAGCTTTCTCGGACCCAGACATGACTGTTGACAATAATATGTGTGGAAATGGACGCAAAAAGAGGGCTCTCTCGTACAAGTGATCTTTCTTGTTCAGAGTTGTCTTTTACCTTATAAGGAAGATATCTGACACATTTTTCGAGGATTGCACGACATAGCTGACATTCACGAATCCGATAGTTTGGACAACTGTCATGGTGCAAGGAATAGCTGAATTTATCTTACTTAGATACTTTTGCTATAATGACAGGTACATAAATCTATGCCTTTTTATCAAACAACTTTCAAATGAAAATTTCCATCATCAGTAGTGGCAAGGTACATGTTCGCAGAAGCGCTGAGTCTTTTGTCCATCTGTAATTCTTGTGCGAGGACGCCCGTATGATGAAGGAGTACGTTTTCCTTAGATTATAATGTGCAAAGGGATCATTAGAGTTCTAAACTCTATAATGTGAACTAGTACGTGATTACCATGATTACTACTTATTCCCTTCCCATTGGTTTTATTCCACGGGATTAAGGAACAGACGATTTTGATCAAAAAATCAAATTTTTTAAATTTTCTTCAAGCATTATTTGACTGGATTGGATTGGGGGCAAAAATTTTCGCACTAATTTCCGGAATAAACGAAAATGGACAAACATGGACAAACATAGACAACCAAATACATAAATACGAATGCAGGCAGAAGCTCTGCTTCCTTTAGAAGTTCCTTCTGTAGTCGCAGAGTATCAGAAGAATTCTAAGATAACATGAGCAAACATCGGCAAGTGCTTAGGTCCTTCACAATTTGACGAAAAAATTTCCGTTGAAAGCTTGTTTGCGACTTTTCACGGACTGCCAAATCATGACTGTCAAGTTTGCTAGTTCTACATCTTAGTAGAGTATTTTATCAACTTATCCAACAACATTTCTATGTTATAGAATATGGAAAGGTCTAACGTATATGTTTGCTAGCAGTAACCATCTCTGCTTATATAAGTCCACATGATATTCAGCAAAGGGACTGGGTTCGCATGTAACCCACTGAGGAATTTGCATTATGTTTGGGTTCGCCGACCAGTGCTTAGTGGGTTCCAAAACCCACGAGAACTGGATCACTCGTTTCGTGAGCGCATGTATGCTTGCCTTTTGGGTTCGCCAACCCTTTGGGTACGTCCGTAAAAACCGGTTAAGTTAATTTTTGTGGGTTCCGGAACCCACTAATTGCGTGAATACCGATCTCGTGGGTCAAGCCTAAACAAAGAGTTCCGCAACCCACTATATTCGATGATAAATACAGCCACAGATGTTCCTTAGAATACAGCACCAAGCTAAACTCGCCACGTGTTACACTTTCTTGGCATAGGTCTTTGTGCCAGAATGCTTGGCAATACCTGAGGATTGAGGCTGGCTCAGTGCCAAAATGTTAGAAGAGGGCGGGAGGCTCGAAATGAGCTGATGGGAAGAAAAAAGTGGTTATTATCAGGAGGACTAGGCAAACTTGGATATGACTGAATTTCACAGCAAAGCATTGAAAGCCGAATTACAGTCCGTGCCCTTTCTCGTAAGCGCAATGAGCCTAAAATGTACCCATTCGAGTGGTAAAAAAACTATTATATTATAGTCTGCAAAAATCGGGCAAATCCAAAACGCTGAAGTCTCAAGTGCAGCAAGATAATTGTAATTCGCGGCAAAAAGATCCTTGAAGCCGAAGCAGACTCAGTCAAGCAGTAAAAATTCTGTTACAGCGTGCGAGATTAGGATTTTAAGCAGAACTCTTAGAAAAAAAAAAGACTGTGGACAGTGGATGTAAATATTATTAGTAATATAGATAAAGTATTTGAATCACAAAAATGTGCAGCTTCCTGTATACAGTGATCAAGCGACAGGTTAGCTGACCCTCATAGTCTTTTATCATTAAGGTTACATCCTCAGGGCATGATGTTTCCATTAGAGAGATGAGTCATTCGTCTGGTGTTCCGAAAAAACAGTAAAAAAAGCTGACATGGCACTTTTAGGAAAAAGTCCAGTTGAATCAACTCTTAACTTCGAGTTTCGTCTCACAAAGATCATAATTTACTGGATGATGAACAATTTGGAAAATCACAGCTCGTTAAACAAAGCGTTTATCTTATATGAGTTCTCAGAAAGACGTGCTCTAATTTTTCATCGTGAATTCGTAAGCTGAAAGTCGAGTTTATCGTTTAGTAACATTTCGGCTCTGTAACAAAAAGTCCGCGCGAAACTAATAGCATATTAAAAAAGAGCGCCTCAAAAAAACCCTAGATCTGTTTTTCATTGAGATAAAGCAAATATTGTTGCTAAACATCAGTTTTGTATTCTATCAAAATCCCGGTTTCATGGTTGAGGGTGCACGCGAAATCGTCGATGGTTGCGGACGGGGCTTAGAATGTACACAGATTAGGCTATGGTGTTGCGGCAAGTCTTTCGGGTAGGTAAGTTCTTTCGCGTACAAAAACTGAGATGTAATCATGAGTGTAATTGCAATACAGAACGCAGAAAGGACTTTAGAAAAGCAGAAAATGTGACATATTAAATTTTCTTCCGTGAAAAAATGCTAATTTTGAAGTAGATTCATTGAATTTTGGAATTATCAATCATTAAATAAGTTTTTTGTATTTCATCGTGTCCTTTGTCCCTACGTATATCGATGAGCACCGCAGTAAATCTATAGGTCAATACTTTGCATTACAAAAACTTTACGCAGTAGAAAAACAATAAAAATAACCGTGAGGAAATTTAGAATCAATTACTATCAAATGGTTTTTTCTGCTAAGTGTGACGCCATTTAAAAAAGGAAGTGTGTTTCATTTTTATACCTGCATATGTGGCATAATTTCGTTCTATTATTTGACTTACTTAGGTGATTCACCATTGGCACTCCACCTCTAGAAGTCACGCTTAACTGTACAAAGAAAGTATACAATTAATTATTTCAAAATTCATTGTAGAGTTTCTCCACATTTGTAAATCTTTTTTAACAGTGGTAAGTAGTTTGATATGCCTCTGCTTTTTAAGACTTTTCCAAGTTTGTATTGCAGTTACACGTCTTATGATTTTTATCTATGAAAATAATTATAATATTTTCTTGCTTATATTCTTCTATTTCATCTTCAACTCCATTTATGATAGACTATAAATTTTTTGCGATGCTGATCAATCTACGCCTTGTTGCAATCGCTCATCTCTAAGGGAATTCTCGCCTCTCGACGCGATGAGGTACGAGGATGCCGTGAAGATCTCTCGGAAAGAGGTTGTGGACGAATACAGTCCGCTTACCGTAGCTCAGCTGCGACGTTGACGCCAGCTCTGCTAGCTGAGGCACCTTACGGCTGCCAAAGATAACACTTGTACGCCCCATGTTATAGTCAGAGCCCGGCATAAGCCTCCGTATTTAGGCTTCTAAAAACGAAGTCCCCCTTGACTTTCGCCAAAATCTACAAAGTCCACTTTGATCCCAAACCACATCTGTAAGAAAAAAAACCCTTGAAAACAAAATGTCGATTAAAAAACATTGCGATTTTTTCTGCCAAAGACGATATCCATGTGTTCTTTCGTCCCAAAAACGAAATCCAGTTCGTCTTCATACGATTTGTACCGGACCCTGGCTATAGTGCGACCTGTGTTAAGCAAATGCCCAATTTGCGCTGCAAAAATATCTTTCTTAGCGAAAAGTCCACTTTAAAGGATTACCAAAAGATTACGCAGATTTGGAGGGTGGCCACACAGCCCAGGTGCCCACCCAGCGGTTTCACTCCGACGGTTTCACGTGGCGATGCTTGATAATGCTGCATAGTGATTGTGCTTGCCAAATCAATGCACCATGCTCGCAACCGATGGATCCTCTTACATTGCACTCTCCGCGATTACCAAAAAGACCTCCAGCGGATCTTTCAGAAATTTCTGCTAGTTGAACTCCATATTTGGAATTGTCTTTGCAAGGTAATGCTTTTGTTCAAGAATATTACATTAAGCTCCATATAGAGAGCGATGCGCTTCTTTTCCCAGTGTACGGTTTCGCTTTTTCACAACGTTTCTAAACATTATCTTCAGTTCATCCTGCCTTTGACAGAAACTGTCTCGAGGAACTTACCATTGCCATAAAAATTGGATTGTATAATCCCAAGTCTGTTAGTATTTGGCGTTTTTCTTCAGGGGTGTATATGTGACAACCCCCATAGGGATTGATGTAGAAAGGAGTAGTCGTTGTTGTTGTTGTCGTTGTTGTTGTGGTGGTGGTAGATGGGGTCGGTGGTTTAATATCTAACTGGCGATTGTAAGCATAATTCGGAGGTTGAGTCGTTGTTGTTGTTGTAGTAATTTCTGCTGTATATCCAACCTAAAAATTGACACCCTTTATTTTCATGATCTGAATAACTTTAATGTTTGGTGCATCAGAACTTGATTGTCCAGCTTAGACGCGGGAATTCGAAAAAAACCAGAAGAGAACTATAGTTTCTTCTACCTACTGTTAACTGTCTTTGAGAGTGTGCGTATGCCCCGCTGAAATCTGCTGGGACGAGGTGGTGGTCTTATAAACGGACTTTCTGTGCGGAATTTCAGCTTTGCAACTGCTTGATTTACTTGCAAATTACCTACAAGGTAGGCCTTCCTAATCGAAGTGGCCTTTTCAATTGAGTTCTATACTACTTTGAAAAGCATTGAACGCTGATTTTAAATCTGTTTTCATTATCTGCCGACCGCCCCTGCGCCGATTTAGAAGTGGTACTTGGAGCAAGAAATGAACGATAAATCTATGTAAAAACAATGGTTAATTTTTTGCCTTCAAATATAGTAGTGTTGAGTATGGTCGTATTGAGCAGAAGGTATTCATTGGATGAAGTACTCTGAGTAACAATAGCCATTCATTTAAGCAATGCTGGACGATTTCGTTACAGCTAGGCATTCAATTTATCGGGGCAAAAAACGCCTATAATTTGACCTGCAGAGGTGCTTGGAGACAAGGAAGACAGATTTGGAATCAACGCTTACTCCTCTATAAAGTGACGTAGGTGTTATGCGGAAAGGCCACTTTAACAAAAAAAGCCATCCTTGTTAGTTTCCAATGACCATGGGTTGCCATGAATTCTTCATGGTTTATTTGTCTTTCACATTATTACAATATGTGGCTCCCAAACAAATTGATCCATTCTTTTAACGTGAGTGATCTTGCTACCTTTGCCAGTTGCAAGTGCCATGCTTCTTCTGAAATTCGTCTCTCCATCTCATCTTCGGTCGTCCTATTAGGCGCTTATTTGGTGGTCGCCATTCGAGTAGCTCTCTTGACTATTTCATCACATTTCTGTTTGCGACCTTCCAAGCATAGAATTGCTAAATCTTTCACTTTTGTGACGCCACGTACCCTATTTTCAGGTGTATAAGCCGCGGGGTGGTCCTAGCTTACATCGAGCTCCTCAGCAGCCTCACTGCGTTTCGAAAAGCGATCCCTATGCCGCAAGATTCATCGGGCAAAACGCAGCACGGTATAAGGGGTCCTTTAATTGCGAAGTCCTTTGGGTGTTTGAGGTGGCCGGTGTAAGCTAGGACCACCCCGCGGCTTACACACCTGAAAATAGGGTAACTATGAGTTCGTAGTGGGATTGGTTGAGCGAACTTCCAAGGTTGATAACACTTCTTTATTCGCTAACGTTTCGGCGCTTTCGCCTTCTTCAGAGCCTGCAAGCCGAAAGTATATGAACTTACTCGTCCAGACGTCAACAATAGATAAAGTATCATTCAAGAACAAGGCCAATGCTAAACAAGACCATATTCACAAGCACAGTACTCACCTTAGATAGCACAAGACGGAAGTCCGAGGACCACCACTATACACAAGACTCAACCTCAGCTCTTTTATACGTGCCTGGATGACCCGGCCTCATATTCGAATCCGCATAGGGACTGATAAGGCGCGAGTTCTCTCTTTATGGCGGTACACTCCTCCTTCCGGTTTATTTTTGGATTTTTGGCGCTAATCCAAAACGCTTCTAGTATTTTGCGCGTAAGGATCTCGGATTCTAACGACAAGATCTTTACAGTGACTTGTATAGGAGCCCCACCATGGCGCGTTATGCGATGTTCCCCTACGGCGTAGCTGCTTTGAGCTTATTTAAACCATCTAAATGCTCCTTAACGCGACAGCAAAGCGGACGTCCTGTTTCGCCAATGTAAAAGTCACCGCATGATAAGCATGTAATGAGGTAGATAACCCCGGCTAGCATACAGTCCCCACATCTACCATACGGAAGACCCGCGTGCTCCACGGATGTGCTCAAGTGTGGCATAGCCATTGGAAGCAGCAATCCTGTGGGCCAAGGCGATGGAGTACGATCGTTCTTCGCTGCCGGAACATACCCGCAGAGCTGTTTTGTACATGTTGCCCACAATAGACCGTTTGGTGCTATTTGGATGTGCAGACAAAGAATGCACCAAGATGTTTTTACTGCTGGGTTTGCGATACCACTTAGTTTTGTAACTGCCGCCTGCTAGATGGATCTGTACATTCAGAAACGCCAACCACCCCCCAGTAGGCTTCTCCCTGGTGAAAACGATGTTTGGTGACTGCTGGTTTAATATTTGGAAGCAAGTATCTACTTCGGCTTGAGTTGGGCATATGACGCAGTAGTCATCTATGTAGCGACCGTAGAGCAGGGGTTTTCGCTGCAGCACTGGCGCTTCTATTTTAGATATAAAAATGATTGCCAAAGTAGGCGCGAGACGTTGCCCATTGCCAAGCCTCTAATCTGTTTGTAATATTGGCCCGACCATCGGAAGACTGAACATTGCAAGCATTCGTGTAGCAGGGTCATTATTCCGTGGATGCTAAGACCGTACAAGTTAAGAGAGGCTTGGTGCTCAGATAGCAACTCGAAGCTAGCTTGAAGTGCAGCATCATTGGATACATTGGTATACAGCGATGTAACGTCGAATGATTCAATGACGCAGTCGCGGCTAAGCTGTGCTGTACGGAGGCGATCAAGGAGCATGTTAGTACTATTGAGGTGCGCAGGGACGAATTGGAGCAGCTGTGACAGAATTATGGTAAGGAACCATGCTATCTTGTCTGTTGGCCCCCCCAATGCCGCTGATTATGGGTCGAACTTTGTAATCGTACGCATTGTTTGAAGAAAGCCCTGCCGCCGGAGGTTTGTGCGTCTTTATCAAAGTGTAGAGCACAGGACAAATAGGCATCTCGCTTTTAAGACGTGCTATTAAGCTTCTGTTAAGCCCCGCAGACCGCGCAATATCATACCAAATCCTGTTAAGGCGGCGGTATTGTTTTCCAAACTCATCAGCTGATGAGGGCGCGTAGGTCGTATCGTCTGCCAGGTGTAATTGCGTGACTGCCATGTCCATTTCACGTGACATCACTACGAACTCGCCACCCTTATCGCTCACTGAAATCGTTATCTCCCCGGCGTTGCATAGGTCACGGATTTCGCGTAGGCCGCGGCGCTGCGCAGTAGTTAAATTACTATTTTCGCGTTTTTTGGAGAAATTATTAAGAATGGAGAAGACTGCGGTAGCAAAAACGCGAAACTTTGTATCTGCGGTGCTGTCAGGCTCCTGCGGCTTGTAATATAAGCGAGGAAATGGTATTACCGGCAAGGACGCGGTTGCTGCAGTTTCCAAACGATTTGCGCGTTGCTCCTCTTTCGCTCTGCGCCGCAGTGCCTCGTGAACATTTTGCAGGCTGCCTACGATCTTGCGTACGACCCGAGGCCCTATTGATTGGACTGGAGAGAAACTTGGACCTAGATCCAAGACAGACATTGCGTCATCGGAGATACGTGTATCACCTACAAGAGACACCCGTGAGAAACTTGGCACATTGACCGAGCTGTCCTCAGTATGGTCTTGATTTTCCGAACTTAGGCTAGTACTAAGTGCTTGTGGACTCTGATTTTGCGTTACACTAACCAAATTCTCGAACTTCCTTTGAAGTCTACTCTTGACATCAGACCGAATAAGATTACATATGACTTTCGACTCACCCACAATTCTCCTCCAAAGGCGGTCGGGCAGAAGACGTTTACAACACTCTTCCTTATGTACATATTTCAACAACAACGTAAACATTTGGTCTTTTTTGACTCGTAGAGCTGTACGTAGGAGGCTTCGCTGTAGATCTTGAACTCTTCTGCTTCGTTCGGGTAGGCCGCAAAGTTCGTGGAGTTTCTTCTTTCTGATGAAGTTGGGGATGACTCCTTGTCGGACGCAGCGGCGGAGAAAGTGGATGGATTGTCGTTCCGAGACGATCTTCTGTCTCATGGAGAGCACTTCTTTCACGAGCCGGAAGCATGTCGCTGGTACATCGTTCAGAATTGTCCAGGTTCGGCTGTCTCTAAACCTTGGCATGGTGGATACTCGTAGTGGGATTGGTTGAGCGAACTTCCAAGGTTGATAACACTTCTTTATTCGCTAACGTTTCGGCGCTTTCGCCTTCTTCAGAGCCTGCAAGCCGAAAGTATATGAACTTACTCGTTCAGACGTCAACAATAGATAAAGTATCATTCAAGAACAAGGCCAATGCTAAACAAAACCATATTCACAAGCACAGTACTCACCTTAGATAGCACAAGACGGAAGTCCGAGGACCACCACTATACACAAGACTCAACCTCAGCTCTTTTATACGTGCCTGGATGACCCGGCCTCATATTCGAATCCGCATAGGGACTGATAAGGCGCGAGTTCTCTCTTTATGGCGGTACACTCCTCCTTCCGGTTTATTTTTGGATTTTTGGCGCTAATCCAAAACGGTTCTAGTATTTTGCGCGTAAGGATCTCGGGTTCTAACGACAAGATCTTTACAGTAACTTGTATAGGAGCCCCACCATGGCGCGTTATGCGATGTTCCCCTAATGGCGTAGCTGCTTTGAGCTTATTTATACCATCTAAATGCTCCTTAACGCGACAGCAAAACGGACGTCCTGTTTCGCCAATGTAAAAGTCACCGCATGATAAGCATGTAATGAGGTAGATAACCCCGGCTAGCATACAGTCCCCACATCTACCATACGGGCAAACCATACAGTTTGGAGTGGTACATATGCGGTCATAAGCTCGATTGCGAACCAATTGGCGTTTGAGATTAGCGGGAGGAATATCGACCACTCTTACCACGCCGTGCAAACCCGCCTGCTGTACGCCTCGCCGCACTGCCCTGCTCAATTCATCAGAGATGAATGGCAGACAGAAGGGGATCTCGTTATCAGTGCTCATACCATGGGCTCTGCTCCGAGAAGACCCGCGTGCTCCACGGTTGTGCTCAAGTGTGGCATAGCCATTGGAAGCAGCAATCCTGTGGGCCAAGGCGATGGAGTACGATCGTTCTTC